AATAAGAATAATTTAACAATTCGCGTATAATAAACAACCAGTACGTAGTATTAGTAGCATGCTTGTCCCCCAAAAATGCGAAAATAGTAAAAAGAGGGCTGTGAAAACTCACATGTTCAGCAAAAGATTCTAGAGTTGTTGTACGGTTGCACAATTGCCCGGTTCTAGGTCCTTCCTATGGAAGTGAAACACACTATCAGATTTAGGTCCAACTCTTAGGGCTAAGGTATTGCTTAGCTCATCATAGCTTATAAAATCCTTATGTGATACATATTAGTTTTAAGTATTAATTTGTGATGATGATTAAATGCAAAATTTATTGATTTATATGATGCTTTAAGAAAATCTATAACTTACGCGTTTTTATTCTTTAATATTATAAAAATCTATATTTTTCTTGAACAAGAGTTTTCACTTTTCTACTGGCAGAAACTTAAGTTCACATATGAGCATAATAAGTTATTTTCTCGATTTTTTTGATCAACCAAATTTTTATATGTTTTAATTTAATGTCATAGGGAATGTTTGACATAAATAACACCATTTTTAGGGGTGGTTAGGTATTTTAATCATTATACTCAAGTTTAAGTGTCACAGTTATCAAGGCAGCCTGCACACTCTTTTTGCCACATCTGTTTGGAGGGCCAAATCCCAATATTTTCCAGATATTCTAACTGGGTTTTAAAACTAACTCAAATATTTATGTTCCAGAAAATGAATCATCATTTATGAATACGTTTGGAGGGAGTTATGGTCATTTTAAGACACATGTCCAAATCTGACAGATTCTGAATGCATGCACACCCAACTTAGTTTGAGTATTTGAGACCTCAAATCTCAATATTTTTGAGTGAAACCACTTTCGTTCGAAAGATAATCCAATAAAATAATTTCCAGATGAAGAATCAAGTATTTTAGAGGAATATTATGAGAGTTATGACCGATTAAAGTAGAATTTTGACTCTAACAAATTGTCTCTTGCACTCTTAAATTAATACGAGTGGTTGAGAGGTCAAATGTCCGAGTTTTTACATGAAACCACTTGGGTCTGAAAAATAACTCAATGAGAAAGGATCCAGAAGAAGAATCAAGTCATTTGACTAAGTATTTTTCATGGTATGATCGAATGAAGTTCATGCATGAAATCTGCCAAAAACCAAAAATCCTAAAAATGATCATCAAATGTTGTTATTGAGAAATGGTTTGAAATCTAAGCCTTGGGCTCGATTTTTAGCACTTGAAATATGAATTTATTATCACATGCATGAAGTTTAAAATAGGTATTTGATGATTTTGAAAGATTTTTATGCTTTATTTTTAAACCAAAGTGGTAGAAACTTCAATACACACTTGGATGCTAGTAAAAATCTCTAAATGTTCTTTCCTTGATCTTAACTTGGGTTTGATCATGGATTATCACTATCTTAGAACATGCAACATGTTTTTGGGTGATAATCTACAAACACTAAGATCCTAGAAATAGTTCTTAGCAAGAACAAGTTTTAAAAATAAAAAAGGAAGGACAAAAAACAAAATACGTAAAAAATGAAAGCTACAACTATGTGAGATGAGTTTTAAAACTCTATGGAGATGGATGCTTACCTTCAAAAATACCTTCTATCCCTTGAAAATGGGATTTAATGGTTGGACATTTGAGAGAGTTTTGAGAGAAAATGGAGAGAGAAATGGAGATAATTCTTGAGAGAGGTTATACAGAGAGAGAGAGGGGTGTAAGATTATGAATTTGAAGTGAGGAATGAGGGGTTTTTAAAAAAATGGGGGGGGGGGTTGTGGCTGGCCATATAGAGGGGAGAGAGAGGGAAAAGAGGTGTGGTGTTGGGTAGTGTGTGTGATGATGAGATATTTTTAAAATTTTTAAAAAAGTAGGTGAGGAATTAATATTTTTTTTGTATTTTGATTTAAATAAATACTAGATGAAATAATTTATCTAGTTTCTATGACTTTTTTTTATACCAAACATTTATATAAAAATGAGAGGTGTTACTTGAATTGGCATTTTATGAACTAATTAAGCAATTCACTCTTCTAAGCACAAAATAGGCAAAATTTATAATTTTTTTTTTCTAGTGGAATCATGACTTACCTTCTAATTTCTAAATTCAAAATGTGACGAGTCTATTCTTGCTATTATTAGATGCTTAAGTCTAGAACTGACCTGAATTTATTTTGTCGGATGTCACAGTCTCCCCCGGTTGGAAGAATTTCGTCCCGAAATTCAATGATTACCTTTATTAACCATATCTTGACCAAAGAGGTGAGGATACTTGTGCCCCATGAAGTCCTCATGTTCCCAAGTATATTCGGGCCCGCGCCTCGATTTCCAATGAACCTTTAGTATCAGAATTCTACTTCACTTTAGTTGCTTAAATTCTATGTCAAGGATCTCATTTGGTTCTTCTATGAAGTGCAGCCGATCATCAATCTGAACTTCTTCTAGGGGCATAATTAACGAGTCGTCAGCCAGGTATTTCTTGAGATTTGACAAATGGAACGTATTATGAATGACATTTAACTCCTGGGGTAGCTTTAGTTTGTATGCCACTGGACTAATTCTTTCGGTGATCTCGAATGGTCCAATATACCTAGGGCTTAACTTCCCTTCCTTCCCAAATTGCACTAACCGTTTCCATGCTGATACTTTTAAGAGCACTTTATCTCCAATCTGAAACTCAAGAGGCTTCCTTCGGTTATTCGCATAACTTTTTTTGACGATCCCTGGTAGCCTTAAGTCTTTATCTGATTATTGATATCTTATTAGTAGTTTCCTGCACATTGTCTGGTCCCGTTAGCTGACTATCCCCAATCTCCAACCAACTAAGTGGTGATCGACACTTACGCCCGTATAAGGCTTCATATGGCGCGTAGTGAATACTAGTATGATAGTTGTTGTTGTAAGAGAACTCTACCAATGGTAAATGAACGTCCCAACTTCCTCCAAAATCGATCACACATGCTCGAAGCATATCTTCTAAAGTCTGAATTGTGCGTTCACTCTGCCCGTCTGTTTGGGGATGATAGGCGGTGCTCAAATTTAGCTGTGTACCCAACGCTCTCCGAAATAATTGCCAAAATCGCGACGTGAAGCGACTATCTCTATCCGAGATGATGGAAATAGATACTCCATGTCATGCAAAAATTTTGTTCATGTAAATTTGAGTAAGCTTCTCCAGCTTAAAATCTTCCAAACTAGGAAGGAAATGTGCACATATCATCAGTCGATCAACTATTACCCAAATCGAGTCATGTCTTTTAGCGGTTCTAGGCAGTTTGGTTATAAAATCCATCGAGATTTGTTCGCATTTCCATTGTGGAATCTCAGGTTGTTGCAACAATCCAGACGGATTCTGATATTCTGCCTTCACCCTTGAGCAAGTCAAATGACGTACAAAGCTATATCCTTTTTGATTCCTGGCCACCAATAGTACTCTCTCAGATCCTTATACATCTTATCCGCCCCTAGGTGAATAGAATACCTAGATCATTGGGCTTCCTCCAAAACTAACTCCCGTAGGTTGTTAATCTTCCGAATCCAAACTTTGTTCTTGAAGTAACGCACTCCATCTAACTTAGTCCTAAATTTATGCTACAAATTATGCATGGTCTCGCTCTTCAAATTTTCTGCCTTCAGCGCTTCATCATGAGCTTCAAGAATTCGAGTCTTCAAACTCGTCTGGACAAGCGTTCCCAAAGCTCGTACTTGAGAGGGTTTTATCCTTTCCTTCCGGCTTAGAGCATCTGCCACTACGTTGGCCTTACCTGGGTGGTATCGAATTTCACAATCATAATCGCTGAGCAACTCCACCCATCTTCTCTGTCTCATATTGAGCATCTTCTGATCAAGGATATGCTAGAGACTTTTGTGGTCGGTAAAAATAGTACACTTAGTGCCGTACAAATAATGCCTCCATATTTTGAGAGCGAAAACCACAGCTCCTAGCTCGAGGTCATGAGTGGAATAGTTCTTCTCATGGGCTTTGAGTTGCCTCGAAGCGTATGCTATAACCTTGTCCTTCTGCATCAATACGCAACCCAAACCGTGGTGGGATTCGTCGCAATATACTATGAAGTTTTCGGTTGCGTCTGGCAAAGCCAGGATTGGCGCGTTGCATAGCTTATGCCTTAGCAGTTGGAATGCGTCCTCTTGGGGTTTTCCCCAAACAAATTTCTTACCTTTTATGGGTCAATGCTGTTAATGGTTGGGCAATCTTTGAGAAGCTTTCTATAAATCGTCGATAATAACCGGCCAAACCCAGAATATGATGAATTTATGTCAGGGTCTTTGGTGCTTCCCATTTCTTTATGGCCGCAACCTTAGCTGGATCCACATGAATTCGTTTTTCGCTAATCACATGACCGAGAAAATGTACCTCCCGAATCCAGAATTGATACTTTGAAAATTTAGCATTGAATTCTTCCTCCTTGAGCAATTCTAACATCATCTTCATATGCTGCTCGTGATCTACCCTACTCCGTGAGTAAATCAGAATATCATCAATGAACACGATCACAAACTTGTCTAGTTACGGTCTACAGATCAAATTCATTAAATCCATAAATACCGCTGGCGCGTTGGTCAGACCGAAGGGCGTAACTACAAACTCGTAGTGCCCATATCGAGTCATAAAGGCCGTTTTAAGGACGTCCTCCTCACGAACTCTTAGATGATGATACCCTGACCGAAGGTCAATCTTAGAGAAATAAGATGCGCCTTGCAACTGATCGAACATATCGTCTATTCGAGGGAGGGGATATCGATTCTTGATCATCAACTTGTTTAACTCCCTATAATCTACGCACATTTGAAACGACCCATCCTTCTTTTTAATGAACAGGACTGGAGCTCCTAAAGGTGAAGAGCTTGGCCGGATGAATCCTTTGTCCAGAAGTTCCTGAAGTTGACCTGACAGCTCTTGCATCTCGGCCGGTGCTAAGCGATATGGAGCTTTAGCAACAGGCGCCGCCCTGGGAACTAGGTCAATTCAGAATTCGACCTGTCTAAATGGAGGAAGCCCTAACAAATCATCCGGAAATACTTCTGGATAATTTATCACCACAAGAATATCCTGGATATGTTTTTCCTCATATTTCCTTTCCGATACATGAGCCAAGAATGCAACACACTTTAAACTCCTTCCAGGTTTTTCCCCTTGTATAGAAAGGGTTTCTCCGTCTTGGTAAGGTATTCTCACAATCCTCTCAAAGCAACAAATCTCCGCTCGATTCTTAGACAACCAGTCCATTCCTACCACTACATCGAAACTTCCCAATTTAATTGGGATACGATCAATAGTAAATAACTTATCAGCTAAATTTAAAGTACAACCCAAGATTACGTCCCTAACCTTTATTTCTTGGCCATTGGCAAATTCGATAGTGTAAGCATCCTTTAACTTCCTCGATTTCAGATTGATTAATGGAGTAAATTCTAATGAAAGAAAACTTCTTATCTGCTCCGACAAACTGGACATAGCCTAATGCTTGTACACCAACCTCACTCGACAATCATGCAGCTCGGTAGCCATGCCCTGAACCCTCTGTGCCTCAGCCTGCGTAATGTCCGAAATACGTTATAAGGGTATCCCCGCGACTATACGGGGTGTCACCTTCACCTCTTGGGGCAATGGTCCTACCCCTGCTCTCGTAGGAATCAGGAAGCTCTTTCGTGCCGTCTGCCGGGTGCATGGTCTATAGGGACTCGCCTGGTGAAGTACTGGGGTTGGTTGGGGTAATGTGGAAGTCGGTGGCACTCTTAGATAGTCTCTGGAGGTCCTCTCGCTAGACACCTCAATCTCTGAATTGTTGTCCACGTGGGGTTCCTCTTCGGGGATGACCAGTGACATAACCTGACTCATCGTCCGAGTAAGTAGTGCGAGAAAAAGATGATGATGACGACGACATAGTGATATTGAGATAAGAGTGCTCTAAGTCACTAAGAGTATAACTATAATAATCTATTATATGCAATGCCTATTCACACACCAAATAAGATGATTCAAAGGTTTTGAGAGGAAAATCATCTTAAACATATTTCCAATATAACCATTTCAATTATAGCATTAATCGTTCCTTAATTAAACATAGGTGATCAGGCTTTGTTTAATTAAGGTTCAATAATGCAATACTGATTTAGTTATACTAGCAATATGTTCAGAAATTTGAAAGTTATTTCCAGTTTTCGGCTATAGTTTGGGCTTTCCCATGAAAAACCAATGTTCTCTATAACCTTCGGCTCTGATACCAAACCTGTGACACCCCACCACGGCAGAAACACGAGATGTAACAGCTGAAGGGTTTCACAGCATAAGGTAGAAGACAACACCAACCTTAGTAAAAAAAAAATATAGTTCAAAGATTTACAACGTCACAAAAATTACAACATTTCAAAAGGGAAATAACATGCTTAACAAAAAAAATTTGATATGCTGCCACATGATGCCTTCCTATATGCCAACCTTATTGAAGTACACCTGAAAAGCATGCCGAAAAAGGAGGTCAACTACTAAAATAGTTGGTGAGTTCACAGGTTTTTAAAATAAAAAGTAAGAGTTTAACTCGCAAAATGCTTTAATCCACATAATGGATAAGTAACCGTTAGTTTGTAACGCACAAGGTAAATTGTATGCTTAAATGCTAAATCCACGAGCACACTACCAAACCTAATGACAGCACCCCGCGACTACATTTTCTATCACCAACATGAGTATTATTATTCTCACATCCTACCTCAGCGGTGAAATAAATCCACATGTGTAAGACATTTGTATCACATTTGGAAAGGGGGGGGGTTGCGGCTGGCCATATAGAGGCGAGAGAGAGGGAAAAGAGGTTTGGTGTTGGGTAATGTGTGTGATGATGAGATTTTTATAAAAATTTAAAAAAGTTAGGTGAATAATTAATATTTTTTTTGTATTTTGATTTAAATAAATATAGATGAAATAATTTATCTAGTTTTTAAGACTTTTTTTATACCAAACTATTAGGACTGAAAGTCAGTGTAATAATGTATTCGTCTTGAAAGTTTATTTTGTCTATAATTGTATAAAAGTCATCATGTTTGACTTTTCTTATAGAAGTTTGACTTTGACCTTGTTTAGTTGTTTGACCCTATAAATAGGGTGAGTTCTTGTTAGGATCAAGCGCTTACCCACTACACCAAAAGCAATTGCCTTGGTGAAGGCGCAACCTTATTTCCCTTATAGCGTASCAGCCAGCGCCACGTTTCGATTTAGGAAGATGCTGGAACCGTGACCAACAATCCCCCCAGCGTATGCCGGTACTAATAAGAGCTTCGTTAGAAGTCAATGGCCGTGCAACATACCTTTCTCATAATTATGCACTCCTTGCATATTATGCACACCATGGGATTCGAACCCGTGACATGCTCTGATACAAATTGTTAGGATTAAGCGCTTACCCACAACACTAAAAGCAATTGCCTTCGTGAATGCACAACCTTATTTCCCTTATAGCGTAGCAGCCAGCGCCACGTTTCGATTTAGGAAGATGCTGGAACCGTGACCAACAATTCTTGAAATTGTAGGTAGGATTCTCATTGCAATATTCATTTACGTAATAAAAGGTTTGACCAAGACTTTGAGCATTGACTTTCTCTCTCAACAATCATTGTGTTCTTAATGCTAGATCTGAGATTCTGCCATTGATGAATTAGAGCTTTCTTGAAGATTGATCTTAAAGGACTCAGAATTGGTATCAGAGCAGGATTTGCTCGAAATCAGTAGAAGAAATCAAGGTCTGAAGAATTTTTTTTAATTTTTCTGTGTTCATCTTGTTCTTGATGTTCTTCATATTTTTTTAGTTTGATCCTATTTTTTTTTAAATCTTGTGTTTTGTGTTAAAATCAGGATCAAAGTATGCGTATTGGAATCGTGAATCCTTTTTATTCACTTGATTTTACGAGTTGATCATCTGATTTCATGTTTTGATAAATTTTGTGTTTTTGCAAAAAAAAATTGTTCTTAAAATCTGGTTTTTGATCCTGTTTTGTTTTATTTATTTTGTTATTTTGTGTTAAATCGCTCATTGCCCGACCCATGGTGAAGCCCAACTTCTTTTCTGTTTTCAATTTTAATCGGGTACAGGCTCATCTCTTGAGAGTTTAAGGAACTTCTTTGACCGAATTCGTTCATCCCTTGAGCGAGTTAGTATTTCATCGCTCACACCTTGAGCGATTAATCCCTTTTGGTGAGCGATATATAGCTTTGAGCGATTTAGGTTTTTTTTCCGCATATAATCTGGGCGGACAAGGAACTTGAAATTTGAAAGATTATGTTTAAATCGCTGACAGTGTAAGCGATTTAGTTGTTAAATCGGTCACAGCTCGTGCGGAGACAGCTTGAGAAGACAAGTTTCACTCTTTTGAGCGATTTAATGTTTAAATCGCAGATGAATTGAGAGGACAAGGGTTTATATCGGTCACTTGTTGAGCGATTTAGGCTTAGTCTTGAGCGATTTAGGTATTACATTGAGTGATTTGCTTACCATTTTGACTGTATTGGCTTAAATCGGAGATCATCTCTCAGGTAAATCACTTATCTTACATCGCACAACTATCTAAGGTTATGAATGTTTCTAAATCATTCAGTCTTCAAATTTCACTTTTCTCACAGCTTCTTTGTATGCTAGTCGATTTGCTCACAGATCAGTAATTAAGGATATTGCTCAATACTTGTTTATAGTTCAATTCTTGTGTGTAGTTCAAAGTCGATTATTGTAAATCAAACACAGGAGTTATTGTTCAATTTCTGTTGTGAGTATAAATCGTGGTCTGACCACTGTTCAAATTTCACTTTAATTGTTGGTTGCTATTAGATTGAGTTAGGAAGCTAGAGTTGATTTGATTAGAGCAGTAACTAATTTTATCTTAGTCTGTTTCTTCAAAAAAATCGCAGGTCACTGGGTATTGCGAGTGAGTTTAGCAAAACTGCTTGTTTCTGTGATCTAATTTGATCAAATTGTTTGGTCACTTGATACAGTAAGCACGGTGGTCATAAATCGCTTGACATGATCGAGTGAACTGGACTCTTGTACTTGAGCAACATTGATGTGCAAAATTAGTAAAGGTGGAATCGATTTCAAGGAATCAGGACTGTTCATGTTTGAGTTTAGCCGAATTTGAATCAAGACTGGATTTGTATCAGCAATGTTTATGGCATCGATTTCATCTTCATCACAGTCCAAATTGTAGGATTGAAGGTTCAAATCCAGGACGGTTCTCTGCAGTTCACATGCCATGCTCATTACATTCTGCAGGTTTTGTCATGACAGGCAATCTGCCTGCTTCAATTACTGTAGCTGCTGCTGCTAAGGGGCTGTTTATATCTTCTGAGAATTTTGTTAAAAAGGACTCACTAAAGCTTGGAATGAAAAGAAGCTGAAGGAGATTCAGATACAGATACATTATGTTGATTATTTTTACCCTTTTGCTGCTGGATGTGAGGGAATTCTTTTGTCCTTCATCAAAATTCGTTATAGATGGATTTCTGTAGTGCTGCGTAACAATAAGTTCACTCGTGCTATTGCTGAAATGGTTTTTGAAGGTGAATATGTTGTTCAATTTTGAGTTTCTATTGAAGTGTAAATCTCAACAGGTCTGGTTGCACGGATTGTATTTTTGTAGTATAAATTGAACAGTTTGTTGCAGGCTCAATCTTGATTGTTTTATATCCTGACTTGTTGATTTTGAGAGTGTGGCAGGCAAAGAACAACCTGAGGTCTTGATTTACTGTTTTGTAGCGTGGGAAGCAGAGGGATATTGAGACAAGGGCCAATATTCATGCCAATTTAAAGTGCAGTCCACTTTTTCGGGTACGAAGGAAGTTGCAGAATGGACTGTTGGAGGAACTCCATTGACTTCATTAATGGATGTAGAGAGAAGACATGGTAAATTCAAGACTGTGATAAAGAAGGCAATTCTTTGTGCAGACAAATTTGGTCAAGACTAAGCACACAGTGAAGAGATCATCAGAACCAAGTGACACAAAGATCAAAACCTCAAAATCTATATTGTATTGTATTGTATCATCATTTCTGTCATTGTAATCGTTTCTGTTGATTTGGGCTTATGCAATTGTTTTGGGCTTATTTATTCTAGGATTTATTTTTTGTTTGGTTTAATTTCTTTTGTCTTTAATTTTGGATCACTTTTTATCTGTTTTTTGGTCTGTGTTAATTGTTTGAGAAATTTTATTTTTGAACTATTTTTTCCGTCGCGTAAACTGTTTTAATCAGTCTTAACTGTCTTTGACTGTTTTTTAACTGTCTTTGACTGTTTTTAACAGTTTTTAACTGTTTTCAACAGTTTTGACTGTTTTTACTGATTTTTGACATTTTTTTTGTCGGTTTTCTAATTTCTCATCACTTTTTTTGTGTTCTACTGATTTTATTTTGAGCTTAACTGATTTTGATTTCTTTTATCTGATTTCATTGCATTAGATCATTTGATTAATCT